TATGCGTGTACTCAACTCTGTAACCGAAGCTGTAACGGAACAAAGGCTCGCCTGCGTTGTCATCACTATCTAGGCGACGTAAGTAAACAAACTCCTGTAACCTACACGTGTCTGTGCCTAGTTAATTCCACTCCATCCATCAATTACCCGCCTGCCGAGTTCTAAATCTAAACACTCCGGTGTGAGTCAGACGGCTGGCGGCGGCTGCTCTGATTCACGACACCTCCCACCAACCCAGATTGACCCACTAGACCCCCATCCCTTGGATTGGGCCTACTGTCTCCCTCCCCGCCCCCAGTACCCCAGATCCCTGCTTACCTCCCCACTCCTGCAGGTCCCAGCTTACTTGGTGCTGTCCCCAGGGAGTAGGCAGGGAAGGGGAACCTGCCTCCCCAGCCACTGCTACTCTATTCTCTGGGCTGGGAAGATAGCCAGAAGTAAACCAGGGGATACAGGAAGCAGGGGTGATCTGTGAGAGCCAGGGGGGAGCCCTGGGAGCAGCGGGGCAAAGGGAGGAATCCCAAGGGGCAGGTGGGGAGCCCCAGGGGTGGGGGGACAGGGGGACCCTGAGGAGTGGAGGGAACAGGGGGAGGTCCAAGGGAAAGGGGGCAAGCCAGAATGAGAGTGGAGGGGAGGGAGGGACAATTCTTACCTTTTAGTTCTCAAGGCCCCTATTGGCTTGAACATGTGACTGCTTCAAACTTGACCTAGCACTAACTTTGCTCACACTTGAGCAGTTCAAAGTAAAGCATGTAAGAAGGCCTTTAGGCACATAAGAACTTTAAAAAATCTCACTAGGAGTCTAAATACCTATATATAGATATATATATATCCTGTCTCAAGTGCCTAACTCATTTTTGAAATAGGGCTTAGGCCAATTATTCTCAACCTTTTTTGTAACAGGACCCATTTGTAAATATTGATGGCCAGTCCTGACCCAGTGATTATTTTAAGTAGAAAACACACAAGTATTTTGGCCCCAAAATACTTATTACACACTACAAGATAAAGCAGCTCAACAGTCTTAATTTTAAAGACAGAAATCAACATTAAAAGCACTATCAACATGTGGCCCTCCATTACTACCAGTGACATTCATCATTGTGTAGTTTGCACAGTGCAAATTGCTGGTGCTCCTCAATCCCAACATGCAACCCCCTGGCTCTGCTGCTGTCTCTTACTCCCAGCTATCAGCCCCCTGGTCCTAGTGATGCCCCTCAGTCCAAACCCACAGTCTCCTACTCCCCTCACCTCCTTCCACTGCCAGCTGCTTGCCTGGCTGGGCCATGGCTCTACCCAAGCACCATGGCATGGCTCCCGCTGCTGCCCAGAGACTGCCCATGCTGCCTGCTATCTCATCTATCCTTTAGGATAGAGGCATGGCCTGAGGGGAGTGGTGGAAGTGGGAGGAGGTGAGGCCAGTGTATTCTAGTACTATGAAAAAAACCTAAATTACAAATCTAGGTTTGCAATTAGTAGAAATTAAAAAACAAACAAACATGTAGTTCTTAAAGGAGAAAATCTGTGATTTTCCACATTTTTTCACAACCCTTTCATATATTCTTGTGACCCACTTTTGAGTCGCAACCCATGGGCTGAGAAACACTGACTTAGGCTAGTAAGATACTTTCCAGCAATGTTACCATAATTGAATGGCAGCCCAGCATTGGTGACATGTAGGGGGTGCACATGGGTGCACATGCACCCCCTGAGCATGGTGGTGCACCCCCTGTGAAAAGGTGTCGCTTACACTGTCAGTGGCGCCTGTGGGTGGTCACCACTTGTCACTCCCCCACCCATGTCCTGCCGCCAACACTGCCAGTGGTGTCTGTGGGTGGTCCGCGATCGCCACTGGCTGGCCCCACTGCCTGTCTGTGGGGGGCAGTGCTTGCCACCCCCTCCCCCTGCCAACAGTGCTGTGGCTGCCTGCGCCCTCCGCCATACTCCCACCACCGACAGTGCCACCGCTGCCTACGGGAGTTCACCGTGCCCCCCCAGCCTCCTGGGGCACACAACATTCATGCAGACCAGTAAGGGCTCTGCACACCAAAGCCCTATGTTTTACATGTAAAATATGAGTTTTGTGGACAGTACAGGATTGGTGACCTACAACTAAATACCAGGACCTTGTGAAAGTTCTAGATTACAGCAAGAACCCTGAGGTTCAGGAAGTTCTGTGCAATAACTGTATCTCACAGCTCCCGGTAGCGGAGCAAGGGCTGTCCCTTGTAGAGCAAAATTCCAATGGAGAATAAGCATTTTCTGGGAGGGCTTACTGAGTACCCATTCCTGGACGGCTCTTTAGGTGTTCTGAGCTATTGTTCTAGGATGTAATCTCAGAGAGAAGCTGATTTTCTTTACTCATAGAGTAGAGGCAGTGTGTTCATAGAGAAAGGAAATGGAGCAGAGTCAAATTTGTAAAGGCAGTCAGATTTTTTGCCACAAATACAGATCAGTCTCTGCTAGTGTTACATCACTGTAGCAAACAGTAGCAGCAAATATACATATCCTAGGTGTGACTGAATTAGCAGGTATAGGAATACCATAGTACTAAAAGATATGATGTCTTTCACAATCACAATGAACAGTGTGGCATTCTGTCAAGGAATTTAGGAATGAACCAGTATCTTTTATTTTTTTAAGGTGTGAATAATCAGATACTGATTTCTGTTGCCAGGAAACTGTACTTATTAGGCATTGTCACCTAGTGAAAGGAGGACTGGAATGGGACCTAAGAGACATGGGTTTTATTCCTGGCTGTACTGCTGGTTTGCTGGTGATCTTGGGTAAGTCACTTCTGTTTTTTGGGCATCAGTTGTCATATCAATCAAACAAGGATAATGAAAGTGACCTTCTTTGGAAAGTGCTTTGAAATCTATTGTTTGAAAGTGCTATATAAGAATTAGATATTGGTTGTTATTATTGTATTTTAATAATAGTCTGTGGGTAGCATACCTTTGTCAGTATTTACCACAAAAGCCAGTATAACCTGAAGTTCACAAAAAAAAATGAAGTAAATACACTGTGCACTTTGTTGAATATTTTATATTTATCAGAAATGATGGAACAGCTCCCAGTCATGACCATGAATTGGATAAGTGTATCTGTATTCCATTAAATTTTTCAGAAAAAGAGAAAAGTAGAAATTGGTGGGAATCTTTATTGAGCCTTGATGAGCCATTCTCGTAGCAGAGATGTTCATATGTGATCTGATTGGATGCTGAATGAATTAAGGAAACAATATTACTGATCTGTTGGCCAATCAGTATGCAGTGTTGAATGTATAATCTAAAAGAGTAGTATTTTTCAGTATCAGTGACCACTGATGAGATATATAATGGAAATGTGTTCACTAATGATCAGAAAACTTCTTTCAGCCACTTATGAGATGAAGGGATTTATTTCTAATGCCTAACAAGAGACGAATAGGTATGGCATTTATTCAGTTCTTCTCACGAACTTATTGTTTATGTCAAGGAATATTTTAATGCAGTGGTTCTCAACCATTTTAGACTCAAAGCACACCTTTCTAGGTGGAAAGCACCAGCTCCCAGTTTTTCTTTGTTTTTTTGACTATGGAAAAGTAATCAGTTCTTTGTTGCAACGAACCTAGAAAGATCACAACAGGTCAGAATGGTTTTGACGCTTTGGATTCCTAGACACCTCTGAGTCTACCTTGTGAATCATGTGGATGTGTTTGCACACCTAAGAAGGCTAATATTACATAGCACCCAGCAGCACCTTTCAAAGAAAGTGGCACCCTGTTGAGAATCACTGCTTTAATAAAACTAATTCCCACAAAATATGGATGTGGCTACTGATGACCACCATCACAATTTCAGGGCACATATCATATCCAGGCCCATCTCTATATGGCTTCATATGTGTTGTAAACCATTAACTTAAAAACAATAGTATAACTCTTTAGATCTTGATGTTTCCTAAAGATATGGTTTCCATGCTACTATATTTTAAATGTAGTCAGGCTGCAGACATCCTAAGAAGAACATGTATAATGATCTTGCCTGACTTTTCAAGGTGAGAATGTTTTGATATATGGAGGAACAGAGTTTACAATGTGGGCTAAAAAGAGAGACTAAGGATTAAGACCAAGGGGTAGAAGGATATCCCATCAAATCTTTTATCTTGGGGATGTAAAAAATATGGTCCATGAGTTGGATCCAGCCTGCAGAGCCCTACCATCCAGCCCTGGTGTTGCCCATGGCTCTTGGAGCTGACCCACAAGCAGCAGGTAAAGTATGCTGTATGGCTTTGTGTCCCACATGGTGCCCACTTCAGCCCCTTCAGGACTGTGCTGGCCCTAAGAGTAGTCCCGTGTCATTCATTTGGCCCATGATGAATGCTGGGTTTGACACCCATTTTACCTTACAGGTTTCCCTTGCTTTATGCGGGTTCTGTATGTGCAAATTCGCTCTTATGCGATGACCCTGTTTATACCAATAATTTGTTATATGAGAGGTCAATTCACTCATATGCAATTGGTGTGGTGGAAGCCCTCAGACAGCTGCTTTGTGTGGCCCATTGTGGGAGTGACGCGCACCAAAATACAGTCTCTTGTGTGGATGTCTGCTCCTCGCTTGTTGTCCATGATGTGTTTCTATAGTTGCCATCCCCATTATGACTTCTAAGCATCCCACTAACTTATCTCCTACCCCTCTCCCTAGTCCATCACCATCTTCTCTTCACACCAACTAACAATTCACCACCACCTTGTGTTTGTGTGTACTGTCTGCTGTTGGTGAGTACCAAAATTGTCTTGTAAAAGTGGTAGAAATGGGCCTGGGGGTCAGTACAGTCGATGTCTTGGAACGTACCCCTATTTGTTACATTATAAAGTGGGTTCCCTTTATGCAAATTCAAGTTATGAGCCATTTTCTAGGAACGCATGTACAGCATAAAGCAAGGGAAACAAACCTGTATTTGATTAGCAAATCTAATCTATTTTCTGCTTTTTACCACACAAAGTACAGCATAGTTTTTACAGATTACAGTTAGCTTCTGTCTCACGTGGTTTCACTGCTTAAATGATAGCACTGAAAATGGAATAAGAGTATAACTTGCTACATCACATGTGTATCTTCAACATCAATACATAGTTCCTCATGTGTGTTACAGCACATCGTAATTCTTCCAAGCCAGATAATATACAAGGTCATTCTCCCATTCACATTTTACAGTGTACTGTCCCTTGCTATATGTTTGTTCAGTACTAAGCACAATAGGCATAATAAAAATAGGTACATTTCTTTAAAAAATAGGTGTAACACATTACTTCATGAGTAGAATTTATTTATAAATTAATTAATGTAAATTATTTACACTGACTATTCCCACCTGAAAGTCAAGGAAATTCACTTGTACAGATTTTTTTATAGAGAAAGAAATAGGTCATCTTTTGAGGGATAAACAACTCCATTTCAAAACAGAAAATACCCACAAATACACATACACAAAAATACTTTCATATCTGTGTCATGTATTTAACATCGCAATGTTTGTAAAAAAGTATATGTGTTTCTTTTCATATTCACTTTAAAATGAAATGGAAAAAGCTGCATTTGCAAGGAATTTTTACTGGCGAAGCATATCATTTACTTTGGCTCCATAAATCAAAGCACAGTCATGCTGCAAAATATGGGCAGCCCATTTAGAAATATTCCATCAGGAGGTATAGAGGTACAGTATATTATACTTGCTGTTTCAAATACTGTAAATAGTTTTCTCAGTTCCTGTTCATCTATATATAATACCATTTACTGCAATGTGGTACTAGTAAATTTTGTTCCTGAGATTTAATATGTAATTGATCTCTTTAGTCATTGCCCTTGAAACAAGGTATCTTTTTATCTACTTTGTCATTTTAAGTTTTTACCCACTCTTTTCTGTATTAAATATACCAGACTATGCTATAAGGATTCAAAGAAGCACTATCCCCAAATTATGTTTTGCAGTGCCTCTCTTTTCCATGTTGTTCTATTTGCAGTGTATACATTCTCTTACATCATTAGATTTCATTGCACTGTGTTTTTCAAAAGAAGCACTGCAAGATTTCTTGGGCCCTGATTCAAAACTCACTGAGGTCAATGCAAATCCTATTGACTTCAGTGGTTTTCGGGTTAGATCCAGAGACTTTACTTAAATACAGGCCTACCTTTTAGTTGCTTAAATGGAACTGTTCATGTGTAGATTTTCTTTCATGGGAAATTATCCAATTTTTACTTTTCCCCATCCAAAAAGGAATGAAATAACAACAACAACAACAAGAAGCATAATAAAATTGAAATTCCCCCCCACAACCCTCCCCCCCAATCTATTGGCAAGAATACTTGTGAAAAGCAAATCCTGAGTTGCAAATGTTTACTCTGAAAATTCCCAGGAATGAATTTTGAATTGAATATGTAATAGCAGTTCTAGCTGTAGTGTTTACTTAGTGTAGTTGTAGTGTGTCACATGATATTGTTCCTGTTCCCTGGTTATATGACTGACTGGTCAATAATGAGCACAGAGAATTGCAAATGACAAACTTGTAGTAACAAGTCACATTTACTGAAGTCAACAAGAACTATACCAAGCTGCATTTCTAATATAGACTCTGAATACAAGAAAATGGCCTATTATGAAGTAGTGTAAGACTCAACATGGCAATGGGTATTTGCTAAAATGTCTTCCAGGGTAAACATGAGTAATTTCCCTGTTTAAAATGTCCTGTGGATAGCCTGAATTTTTTTAAAATGTCGGTATGGGCAAGTCAGTAACACTTTCCCTTCTGTACCACATACTTAGCGCTAATACTGCCTTGCCAGTTACAATATATTGGTCAGGATAAACATGTCATGGCTGCCCTCAGCTAGATGGATTAATAGAGGAATTCCCAGAAAAAGGCACATGCAAACCAATACACAGGAGTCAGGTGATGGCAAGCATGCATTCAGGGCCCAGCTGTTTACTACTTGTCTTGCAGATGCACGAATACTATTGATGTTGCTGCAAGTTTGGGGTGTGTAAGGACTATGGAATTGGACTGTGATAAGCACACACATTCCATACAAAAGTATGGGCCTGATCCAATATTTCAGAGTTAATGGGACCTTTTCCATTTATTTATTTATTTTAAAAGCTTTATTTATTAACGAATCCAACTTATCAAGTAACAGATTTGACATATAAAGATAAATACTTTGCATTTTTTTTAGTGAGTGTTAGTTCAGGCTGTCTGTTAAAAGATCCCTAGTGGTATGATTAAGCATTCAGTTGTCAGGAATTATAGATAAAGGTGCCCTCTTGTGTGTATGAATTACTGTACACTCTGCAATATCATGATATCACCCTTCATTGCCAGAACCATAGTCTGTTATTGTTTAATCTAAGGCTGCAAGGGCAAAATCCAGATCAGCTCCTTCAACTAGGGAATCACAGCATCTAAAAATTATGTGGCTGGCCCCAGAGAGTGATGGAAAGAAACAGGGTTAGTTTCCTTTAGTCCCTATAGACTCAGTGGGGAGGGTAAGCCATCTCCAGGGGCCATTATGAGAGTCCAGATGCTGAGCACTGAGTCAAATAGTGCTATGCAATTGGAAATGCTGAGCATAAAGGAATGCCTGAGCTCCCACCAATCTAGAGCTTATATACCTGGCTCAGGGTTACACACTGAACACCTTTGCCTTCTTAGAGCCCAGTGTGCTAATACTTTAGCAGTTACATTCCTCACCTTGGAAGTTGTAGATGTTGGGTAGAATTCTGTTTCCTTTTGTGCCCTTAAAGGGTG